CAGCAGCTTTTTAGTTTTATGAAGTCCCACTTGTTTATTTTTGCTTTTGGTGTCAAATCCAAAAAAATCACCACCAAGACCAATGTCAAGTTGTTTAACCCCCATTTTCTTATAGGAATTTTATGGTGTCAGGTGGTATGTGCAAGTCCTTATCACATCTTCAGTTAATGTTTGTGGATGGTGTAAGAGAAGGGTCCAGTTTTATACTTTTGCATGGGGCTGTGTAGTTTTACCAGAACCATTTACTGAAGAGACTATCCTCCCCCCATTTGTATATTCTTGGCTCCTTTGTTAAAAATTAGTTGACCATATATGCATGGGTTTATTTCGAGGGTTTCTATCCTGTTTCATTTATCTATGAGTTTGTTTTTATGCCAATACAATTTTTGATTTGTTTAGATTACTATAGCTTTGTGATATACTTTGAAATCAGGAAATGTGATGACTCCAGTTTTGTTTTCTTTCTCAAGATTGCTTTGGCTACTCAAGGTCTTCCATGCTTCCATACAAATTTTAGGATTGTTTTTATTCTATTTCTATGAAAATTACAATTGGAATTTTGTTAGGGTTTGCAATGAATGTGTAGATTGCTGGGGGGAGTATGGACCTTTTAACAATATTAATCCTTCCAATCCATGAAAACAATATCTTTCCATTTATTTGTGTCAATTTCTCTCATCATTGTTTTATAGTTTTCAGTATACAGATCTTTCACCTCCTTGGTTATATTTATTCCTAAGTATTTTTTTCTTTTTGATGCTATTGTAAATAGGTTTTCTTAATTTCTCTTTTAGTAGTTTGTTGTTAGTGTATACAAATACAACTGATTTTTTATATTTTGTAATCTGCAACTTCACTGAATTTGCTTATTCTCAGTTTTTTGGTGGAGTCTTTAGGGTTTTCTATATTTAATATGTCATATGCAAACAGACATTATTGCTTCCTGCTTTCTGATTTTAATACTTTTTTGCTTGACTAATTGCTCTAGCAAGAACTTCTATTATCTTGAATAACATTGGTGAGAGTGGGCATCTCTGTCTTGTTCCTGATCTCAGAGGAAGAGCTTTTCCCCAGTGGGTATGATGTCAGTTATGAGCTTCTCTTGTATGACCTTTATTATGTTGAGGTACATTCCTTCTATGCCCAATTTATTGAGGGTTTGTATCATGACAGGATGTTGAATTTTATCAAATCCTTTTTCTACATTTAGTCAGATGATCATATGATTTTTATTCTTCATTCTGTTATATGATGCATCATGTTGATTGTTTTGTGGATGTTGAACCATCCTTACATCCCAGGAATCCCACTTGATCATGGTGTATGATGCTTTTAATGTATTGTTCAAAATTGGTTTGCTAGTAATTTTGTTGATATTTTGCATCTATATTCATCAGGAATATTGGTCTGTAATTTTCTTTTCTTGTTTCATCCTTGTCTGGCTCTGTTATCAGTGTAATGTAGGCCTCATAAAAATGAGTTAGGAAATGTTCCCTCCTCTATTTTTGGAAGAGTTTAATAAAAACTGGTACTGTTTAAATGTTTGGTAGAATTCATCAGGGAAGCCATCTGGTCCTGTAACTTTTTTTGTTTGTCAGGAGGATTTTAATAATTCAGTTTCCTTATTAGTATATGGTTTGTTCAGATTTTCTAATTCTTCATGATTCAGTCATGGTAGGTTTGTATGTTTGTAGGGATTCATCCATTTCTTCTAGATTATCTAATTTATTAGCTATAATTGTTCATAGTAGTTCCTGATGATCTTTAGTATTTGTGTTATCTATTGTAATGTCTCTTCTTTCTTTTCTGATTTAAGTCTTCTTTCTTTTTTGTTCTTAGTCTAGCTAAAGGCTTGTCTGTTTATCTTGTCAATATACCCGTTCTTAGTTTCTTTTATTTCTTTCTTTCTGTATTCTTTCTAGTCTTACTTCATTCATTTCTACTCTGATCTTAATTCCTTCCTTTTAACTTTGGGCTTAGTTTGTTGTTCTAGTTCTCTGAGGTGTATAGTTAGGCTGTTCATTTTGATGATTTTTTTTCCCTTAATGTGTAAACATCACTATAAACTTCCCTCTTAAAACTGTATCTTTGCTATATCTTGTAAGTTTTGCTATGTTGTGTTTCCAATTTCCTTTGTCTCAAGGTATAGTTTCCCTTCTCATTTCTTCCTTGACCCATTGGTTGCTCAAAGGCATGTTGTTTAAGACTCACATATTTGTGAATTTTCCAGTTTTCCTCTTGTAAATGGTTTCTAATTTAATAACATTGTGGTGTTAAAAGATGCTTGATATGATTTTTGATCTCTTAAAAATTTCCTAAGACTTGTTTTGCGGCTATCGTATGATCTGTCCTGGAGAACATTCCATGTGCACCTGGGAAAACTAGGCATTTTACTGCTGTCTGTATGTGTCTTTTAGGTCCATCTGATCTAACATGTGGTGTAGGTCCAGTGTTTCCTCACTCATTTTCTGTATGGATGACCTATCCATTGTTTAAAGTGGGGAATTAAAGTCCCTGACTTTTATTTTATTGCTGTCAGTTTCTCTCTTCAGAATGTTAGTATTTAGATGTGCCAATGTTGAGTATGTAAATACTTACAATTGTACATCCTCTTCATGGATTGACCCCCTTATCATGATATAATGACCTTCTTTGACTTTTGTTATAATTTTTGACTTACTGTTTTATCTAATTTCCTTGCTCTTTTGTTTCCATTTGCATAGAATATCTTTTTCTATCCCTTCACTTTCAGTGTCTGTGTGTCCTTAAAGCTGAAATGAGCCTCTAGTAGGCAGCATAGCCGGGTCTTGTGTTTTTGATCCATTCCACCACTCTGTCTTTTGATTGGAGAATTTAGTGTATATACATTGAAAGTAATTGGTAAGTGTGGACTTACTGTTACCATTTTAATTGTTTTCTGGCAGTTTTATTAACTCCTTTGTTCCTTGCTTGCTTTCTTCATGATTTGATGATTCTCTGTAGTGGCATGTTTTGATTCTTTTCTCCTTATCTTTTGTTTTATCTGTTATAGGTTTATGCTTTGTGATTACCATGAAGCTTAGATAAAAACATCTTGAGGTTATTTCAGTTTAAGCTGATAACTTCAACTGCATACTAAAGCTCTACATTTTTACACTCCTCCCATCAGTTTAATGTGTTTGATGTCACAGTTTACATCTTTTTATATTGTATAGTTTTATATAGTTTTTAGTACTTTTGCCTCTTAATCTTTAGAGTTATAAGTGATTCTCACCTACCACCATAACAATATTACAGTATTTCAAATTTAACTACATAGTTACCTTTACTTTGATAGCTTTATAGTTTGATATGTTTTCATGTTACTAATTAGTGTCCTTTTGTTTTGGAAGAAGTTCCTTTAGCCTTCCTTGTAAGGCTGATCTAGTGGTGATGGACTCTTTCAGCTTTTGTCTGGAAAATTCTCTCTCCTTCAATTCTGAAGGACTCCTTTGGGTGGGTAGAGTATTCTTGATTGGAAGGTCTTCAAATATATCATCCCACTCCCTCTACTTGTAAGGTTTCTGCTGAAAAATCCACTGATAGTCTCATGGGAGCACCCTCACATATAACAAGTTGCTTTTTCTCTTGCTGCCCTTAACATTCTCTCCATGTTTCTGATTTTTGAAAATTTAATTTTCATGGTGCCTTGGTGTGTGTCTCTTTAGATTCATCTTTCATTGGTACTCTTTGAGCTTCCTGGACCTGGATGTCTGTTTTCTTCCCCCAGGTTAGGGAAATTTTCTGCCACTATTTCTCTGAATAAGCTTTCTGTCCCCTTCTTTTCCTTCCTGAACCCCCATAATGTGTATATTTGTCCCTTTGATGGTGCCCAATGAATGCCTTAAGCTGTTTTCACTGTTTTTTCATTCTTTTTCTTTTTGCTCCCCTGATTAGATGAATTTGGCTCTGTTTATTTTGGCCCCTTTCTTCTGTTTCAACTAGGCTATTGTTGAACTCTAATGCATCTTTCATTTCAATTACTGTATCCCTCAACTGTATAATTTGTTGCCTTTTAATATTTTCTTTTTGTTGAATTCTCTTTGTTCATGCATTGCTCTCCTGAACTCAGTGAGCATCTTTATGACCATTATTTTGAACCCTCTATTGGGTAAAACCGCTTAGCTCCATTAAGATAGGTTTTAGAGCTTTATCTTGGTCTTTTGTTTGGGACATATTCTCCTGTTACTTCATTTTTCTTGCCTCTCTCTGTTGGTTTCTGTGAATTAGTTAAAACAGCCACCTCTCCTAGTCTCAACAAGTGGTCTCATGTAGGAGATGAACCTCGTTAGTCAGCCCAGCCCCACTCCTGGCTGTCTCTCAAACCTTTGTGATCCTATAAGCTGCCATCTTTGTTTTTAGTAGTTCCCAGTAGTTGAGTGTGTGCCAAGATCTATCAGTGTCTCTAGAGGCATGCTATGTTGAAGCTGGACTTTCAGGAAGCATCTTATGAGGTATGCAGTCAAACCCTTCTCAGAGAAAAACTGGCAGATGGGTGTGTTTCCCTTTTCCCTCAGGGCTGAGCCACAGCGGGGCAGGGGTAGGCGTGATAGCCACAGCAAGTGCTCACATCCATTAAGAACCATTTCTTTATTTGCTATAATCTTGTGTTTTCATGGACACAAGCCTCATGGGCTTGCAGAGCTAGGTTTTGAGGGGGTCCTCCCTTGGGTGGTTGTCTTAATAAAAGTTGATGCACTGTATGTGCCATCTAAACCGTTCACTCCTCAGGGAGATACTGAGAGTTGTGTTATATGGCATTGTGCCAGGGACAGAGTTTATGGCAAGAGTGTGTTTCAGCCTTTCTTAAGCATTTCATTAACCAAATATAGAAAAGTCACTCAGCTACTTTTAGAATTTCTTTCAGAGGGAATCGCTCTGTATAGGTATACATTCAGTGCATTCAGGGGAGGAGGGAAGTTGAGGAGCCTCTTACTATGGTACCATCTTGGTCTCTCCTCAGCATTTTTATTTTTTTCCAGAAAGAACTAGAGAAGCAGAAGAGAATTAAGAGGAACCAGCAACTGGAAGCAATAGCCAAAGAATATTATGAAAGGGTGTTGCTAAGGAAAAAAGGTCTAGAGCCTTGGAAGAGATTGAGAATGCAAAGCAAACAAAACATCCAGGTATAGTGTCATACTCTTTTTTTCCCCCAAAATTATAGAATGGATTTTTCAAATAGGATAAATACCACTAGGCTTTGGGGCTTGGTAATTTAAAAGCCAGCGAGATAAATGAATTGAGTATGTGTATTTCTTTGTTTTGGATAAGAGTTTAGATTTGGTCTTTCAAGGTAGAGAAAGTCTTCTGTAGTTGAATGGGTTGGGGAGAAAAACAGAGTAAAATTTTTTATTAGAGATCTCTGAGGTAAGATGAATAGAGGCTTCTCTCAATTTTAGCAGTACTTAAAGATAAAAATAATTACCATAGGTATATTAGGTTTCTGCTCCAATAAACCTACATAACAAATAGCTCCCCAAATCAGTGGCTTACAGTTTGAACATGTACTTCTCACTCATGTCTGTGGGCCAGCTGTGGATTAGGTTCAGGGTTCTCCATAGCCTCTTTCTGGTGCCAGCAGCTATTCAGGGCATGCTTTTCACCTGGCAAATATCCGAGTTATAAAAGCCAAACCCAATTATGTAAATCCATATGAAGCCTTTGCTTAATAATAAATCATGTCCACTGACATTCCATTGGCCAAAGCAAGTGATAGGGCTGAACTCAAGGTCACTGAAGGGAGAAAGGCTCTGTCTACTCAGTTGGGAGGCACTATGAAATCACATACACAGAGTATGGACATATCATCCTATGATGGGGCACAGTAATCCACTTTACCACACAAAGATACCTGAAATCAAATACTACTGAAATTCAAATTTATCCAGTGTATAGAACATGGCATTCAACTAAAGGATCAAGAAGCTCAAAATAGACAAAATGTTATCTTTAGAATTCTATTTAATAATAAGCTCAGTTATGTATACCAGTTATGACCACTCTTATTACACATTTGGTCAATACTGAAAAGTAGGCTAGTAGTTTTGGTTATGAAAACCAGGATTAAAGATGAATAACGCTTTATATTATAACAACCTCACTAAACTGAGTAATGCTGCAGGTTCTACCTGTGAATGTGACAAGCTGCTTTTTTTCCCTCCCTAGTCAATCTATACTCAGCCTTTAGTCTGTTTTCTTCCTATTTTCACACTTCCTTTCCTTATCTTCCCTCAATGCTTTTTACAGTGTTGTTTTCTCTGTTCCTGATTTTTTTGTCCTCAGCCTGTTTACCAGTAGTTCTGGAGTTACTAAGTTTTCCAAACCAGTGAGGAGCCAGTTTGTGGTGGTCACGCCTGAGGGCAAGGGGATCCATCCTATTGGAAGCCTGGACCCATCTGTGCCCCAAGCCATTGTTATCTTGCTTTAACTTCTTCCTAGTAACAATGTGGAGGGTAACTAAGGGCTGAGTCCTTAGTTTTCTGAGTGAGTGAATCTGGGAATGCAATTTGTTTGCAATTTGAATTGAAGTTTGCTTCTTACAATATACTACCAGAAAGATTGGTCACAACAGCTTGCTATCCAATTGAGTGTTCTTAGTTTTATTGTGTTTTAAGTAGCTTTTGTCAGTTTTTTATTTTGCTTTTAATTATTAATACACAAAGAAAAAGCAGGCAGGGAGTGGAAAGACTCACTCTTATATTCTTATCAGTTTGTCTTTTTTGGTCCTCATTTTTGACTGAGTGAAATCAACAAAGGTATAAAATTTAGAAACAAACTTATACCTGTGAGTGACTAACCAAATTAAATTTTTTAAAATGTATTCATAAGAGTATAAAAATAGGAACAGGAGTCTGAGCTCAAAATGGTTTTAAAATAGAAAATCCCAATTAAAATAACAACAGGTAAATATAATTTCCAAACTTTCTTGTTCATAAAACTATCTGAAGACCTTACAAAAATGCACATTCCTGATCCCACCTCCAGATATTCTCAGTAGGTCTGGGTTATTGGCTTGGGGGTGCTGGGGGTGCTATTTTTATATTTTTTAAAAGTAGCCCAGGTGATTCTGACACAAGTGGTCTGAGTACATTTTGAGACTCACCTCTTAGTTCATAACAGGTATTATTAGTTTCCTATTGCTATTACAACAAATTACTGCAAACTTAGTGGCATAAAACAAATTTATTATCTTAAAATTCTGGAGGCCAGAAGTCCAGAACCAGACTTATTAGGCTAAGGTCAGAGTGTCAGCGGGGCAAGTTCCGTCTTGTGGTTCCAAGGGGAAATCTGTTTGCTTGCCTTTTCACTTTGTAAAGAAGGGGAGCAAAGCGCTGAGGAGAACTGACTTGGTGAGGTCACACAGCGTGCTGGTTACAGAGCCAGCATGGAGCTCAGCACCCACTTCCTCCGGGAATCCTGCCGGGTTCTGGCATGCTTTGAGCGGGGTAGGAATCAGATTGTATGTAGATGCCAACTACCAGTTGAAGTAAAAAAAAATAAAGAGCAGTAAAAGTTCTAGGGGACAGTGAGAGAGGGTTATTATCTTCACCTATCAGTTGACTTCCAGGAAGGAGTAAGAAAATTAAGAAAGAAGAGTCCAGTTAAAAGAGTTCCTAACTGGTTTATAACTTTTTCAGGATAGTTGCTTAGTATTTTCACTTAAACTCATGAATGCACTGTAGGCCATTTATTCCAACTACCATTTTCAGAACTTCCAAGAGACCTTTTGATAATCTTTTTTTCTCTTCCTGGTTGTCTGTTTTCCAGAGGGTAAAGAGCAGGGGCAGTAGGAGGCTGTATGTTTGTGGCTCCCCTTGCCTTTTGGTCCCCAGGCTGGCCTAAGTCAGAACAGCAGCAGTCTCAGGTGCCACAGAGGCCTCCAGGGATGGTCATTTTGGCCAGTAAATATGCTTGCCAAGAGATCCACTGAGATCAATCACATTCACAGTGCTGAGTGGCTGGAAAGGCTTAGAAAAATGTGTAATTGTCTGGAAAGGACTAAGAGAGAAATGTCTCTCCCTCCTACCTCTTGAGAGAATGTACGTTACTTTTTAAAATCTATGAACTGAGTTATATGTTTATTTTGATAGAATGATACTCTAAGCCTTTTAAAAGACATTAAATTATTCATCATTATATTCTATCAAATGGTTTTGTGGTTCATTGATAATGTCTGAATTTCAATGCTGGTGACAGTTCATTCTATAAAACTAATTGAAAGTATTGGCATTTCCTCAATCATACAGTGGTTAAGTACATAATAAAGAGAGGTTTGTTATGAAGGTGCCGTCTAAGCTCCAGAACAAATGGATAATGTTGTCAACTGCTCACTTCAAAACTTGGTGCAAGTGAAATAATGGCTTTGGAGATTGTTTATTACATTTCCCTAATACCAGCCAGTCACTGTGGTCTTTAGGGAGTCAGTATTTAAAGACTATGCATGTTATGAATCTAAAACTCCCATTATAATAGGGTTAATAATCAAAACTTTTAGGACATAGGCTGAATATCCTTAATGTTATTCCCTGCCTATATGTGGTTTACAGCATCATTTGCCATGGTAATGTGTTTCCTTTAATAATTTAAGATAGAAGGAATAATTTACTTTTCTCATTTAAAAAATTGTCCAGGTGGCCAAAGAACACCACTCTTTGGCCCTACAACGGAAATGCCTGCTGACCTGGTTCCAATGTAGTCAGGAGAGCCTGGCTAGGAAGACAGTGCGGGCTGATCAATTCTATTCCCAAATATTGCTTAGGAGAGTCATGCGGAGCTGGCTGAAGGTAAGGCCACAGGGAATAGAACTTAAAATACATGTCTCTGCTCAATCCTGTGTAAGAAAATTACATGGAACCCGTAATGTCTATAGTCATTCTGTTTTTTACAAGAAAAATATAAAATACTCAATCTAATTCATTACTTTGAAATGGATATGAAAATGTCAAAGTTTTTGTTAGTATAAAATCTTAAACATGTTTTTCTTCACACAGTGTTCATCTCTCTAAACTGTAACATATCATTACATCAGCTTTTGTTTCTATACTCATTTCTTGTCCCGTAATTCTCCAGTGATTTTACTAAAACCTACCCCCTTCAATCTTACAATGGTTTCTACCCGCCTAGTTCCATTATTATTTTTTTAATCCACTACAGAGGGTGTTATCTTGGCTGCTCTGTTATCTTTTTCTCCATAAGTCTCCAGTATCCTTTGTTCCTTTGATTCTCTCTTTTGTATTGTTTGCTCTAATTCTTCATTTATTTTATTTGCCTCTCTTCTGTTCCTGTCCTCATCCCCAGTACCTGACTGATCTGGAGGAAGAAGTACACAAACTGTATGTACGTTTTCTTCAGAAAAAGGTTTTCAAGGCCTGGTTTAACATGGTCACAATGGTCAAGATGGATTCTCAGAGCAAGTACGAGACTGCAGTGGAGCACAGCCACAGGTGAGGTTTTGATCTCTAAGGAAAGTCTCTCACTGACTTCACAATTGGTGTGTAATATTTTCTATGCCTGGAAAATGTCCAAAAAGAGGTGGAGGCTATGAGAGCTGGACACATAGAGATACCACCAAGCAGGTGTGGAAATCCCAGCCTGCCCACCCACCCACATGGTGAAGGCAGGCTGGCAAACCCTCTGGAACCCCAGGGACCCCATCTTTGAAATGCCTGCCCTCTTTACCTCACAGGGACGGGAAAGAGAATAAACTAATATGAAATACATGAAACACACCTAAGCAAATACACTGTGTTCTTTATTGGTCAGGTAGGTTTATCTTTTAAGTTCAGTTTTTTCCAAATATTGTGAAATATAACACAAATACAGAAGTGCTTAAATCATACAAATACAACTTAATGAATTATTTCAGACAGCCATGTCACTACCACTGAAGTCAAGAAGTAGGACACTGTTGGTTCCTAGAAGTCCCTATAGGCTCCTTTCCAATCACAAGCCTTGCCCCTCCCTCCTGCAGGGAAACTACTCTCCTGACTTTTATGATGACAGTTACTCCTTTTTTACTTTTTTTTTTTCTGTTTACTTTTACCTCCTAAGTGTACAAGCTTCAAGGCAATAGTTTAGTTTTGCCTGGTCTGGAACTCTATGTGAGTGGAATCAGAGTGTATGTCATACTAATATTTATAATACAGTGGTGTTTCTTACTTAATCCAGCATCCTCGGGGAATAAGGTATTCCAAAAATTAAGACTTTTCTGTTCCCTAATTTACAGCAACTTGAAAGTAAATATTCTAAATTTCATCATACACTTCCCTTTGAGAGTAAACAAATGATTTTTCCTTTTTTTTGGTGATGGGGTAGGCATATGCCTTCCAGTTCTAAGGTGGGAAGATAGTTGTGTAGGTATAGAGGCACCCTTTTCTCACTCACATTCATTTTTGGTTGCTTTGTTTTCATTTATGTGTGTACATCTGCTTTTTAAGAAAGTGTACCTATCTGTTGCCATTAGAGTGCCCACCACCAGCAAGACCTACTTGTCCTTGTTTAACTTAAAGCTCACTGAACTTGGTTGGCTGGGAAAATACAAGCAAGTTGATTTTAATTTTATATAAAATAAAAGAAATAGGCAGTGAGTGAAAGTCTCAGAGAACCTGCCTTTGAACAGGTGCTTGGGCTTTAAAGTTTGAGGTTTAGAACTCAATGTCTTAGTGACCCTGGACAAATAATCTTTTGAAGCCTCCCCCTTCCTTTTCTCTAAAATGAGGATACGGATAATGGGAGGTGAGTACAGGATGGTGGCCTGGAAAGAACCTGAACCCATCTCTTCCACATAGACCTCAAATCTGTAGCTACACGTGGGGCAGTTCATCCTGAGGGAGAACTAAGGCCTGACTGAGCACCTTCTGCACAATGAGGGACAAAAAGACCACATAAACAGGAGAAGAGATGGAGACATGGTAATGGAGGGAGCCCCACCCCCAACTCGACCCTGTACTGAGGAGGAATATCACTGACGGACCTGAGTATAGATTCTCTTGCCATGGGTCACAGGAAGGAGCCAAGATTTAAAGCAGTTTAAATACCAGCCACACTAGAGGTGAAAGAAAGGAATTTTCAGAACTAAAGCCCACACCTAATGGTGGGAAAACTACTAGAACTCTCTCCAGGACAGGAGATGCTGGCAAACACCACTGTTTATCTTCTCCCTATGTATTGATAATGCAGGTGGGAGCAAGGTCAGAGTGTACACACCAGCTCCAGATTTAACCTAGGTGGTCTCTTGGGTCCAACCTGCACCCATACACCTGCCTGAGATCTAGCAGTCCCACCAAGGTGGTACTAACGTGACTCCCACGTTGATTTATGTTACCCATGTTCCCTCCATCCCCAGCTGCCCCATTAGTGGGGCCCCCACTGGTGCCCACCTGGGAGACCTGCACACTGCACCAGTCTACCTCTGGCTGCCCTTCTGTGTGACACTGGCCAGTGCCCACACAGGAGAACCCTGGACTAAACTCCTTTGCCCCTAGCCACCTACAAGTGCAGTCCTGGCTGGCACCTGTTAGGGAAACCCCTGGCCCATGTCCTGGGAAATTTAGCACTGGAACATCCCAGCCCACACCCACCCAGCCTTCAGCCAGCCAGCCAAAAACACCAGGCACACACAGTCTAGCCAGGGGACATTCCTACACAAGCCACTCCTTTAAGATTGGGAGAGGTAGCCCTTTCACCTAACCTATAGAAACAAAATAGAGGAGACTGAATATGCTTGAAACAAACAAACAAAAAAAGACAAAAACTTCAGAAAAATAACCAGAGTTAAGCAATCTACCTCATAAAGAATTTAAGGTAAGTTATAAAGATGTTCACCAGACTTGAGAGAAGAATGGATGAACTCAGTGAGAACTTTGACAAAAACACAGAAAACATAAAAAAGAACCAATCAGAAGTGAAGAATAAAATAAATGAAAAATATACCAGAAGGAATCAACAGCAAATTAGAGGCTGTAGAAAAATGGATAAGCAATCTGGAAGACAGAGTAATGGAAAGCACTCAAGCTGAACAGCAGAAAGGAAAAAGAATCAAATGAGCATAGGATAAGGGAGCTCTGGGACATCAAACATCCTAACACACACTATAGAAGTCCCAGAAGGAGAAGAGAGAGAAAGGGGGTAGAAAACTGAATTTGAAGAAATAATAGCTGAAAACTTCCCTAACTTGTGGAAGAAAATAAGACATCCAGGTCCAGGAGTCACAAAGAATCCTGAACAAGATGAACACAAAGTGTTCCAGACCAAGACACAGAGTAATTAAAATGTTAAAGATCAAAGACAAAGAAAGAATCTTAAAGCAACAAAAGAAGAGCACAAGTTAAACTTACAAGGAAAACCCCATAAGGGTATCAGCTTATTTTTCAGCAGAAACTACAGGCCAGAAAGGAATGGCACGACACAAAGTGCTGAATGGAAAAAACCTACAACCAAGAATATTCTACCTGGCAAGGTTATCATTCAGAATTGAAAGAGCAATAAAGGGCTTCCCAGATAAACACAAATTAAAGGAGTTCATCACCAGTATACCAGCCTTACAAGATATGTGAGAGACTTCTTTAAGAGGAAGAGAAAGGCCGTAACTAGAAGCAAGAAAATTATGAAAATAAAAATTTCCACTGGTAAAAGAAAACACATAGCAAAGGCAGTATAAATCATTTAAAAGCTAGGAGGAATGTTAAAAGACAAAAGTAGTAAAATCTTTCACTTCTAAAAATTAGTTAAGGGAATCACTAAATAAAAAGGTATAAAAGAAAACATACATGAAACATGGAAGTAAAGGAGTAAAAATGGAGTTGTTAGATTGCGTTCAAACTTAAGTAACCATCAGTTTAACACAGACTGCTATATACATAAGACAACATATATAAACCACAAACCAAAACCACACAAAAAAACAGGGAATCCAACCGTAACAGTCAAAAAAATCATCATGTACAAAGGAAGAGAGCAAGAGAAGAAGGATCAGCAAATGACAAAAACAACCAGAATACATTTAACAAAATGGCAATAAGTACATACCTATCAATAATTGCCTTAAATGTAACTGGACTAAATGCTCCAATCAAAAGCCATAAATTGACTGAATGGATAAAAAGACAAGACTATCTATATGCTTCCAACAAAAGACTCACTTCAGACCTAGATACACACAGACTAAAACTGAAGGGATGGAAAAGGATACTCCATGCAAACAGAAAAAAAAAAAAATGGAGTAGTAGTATTTATATCAGACAAAATAGACTTTAAAACAAAGACGGTAACAAGAGACAGGATATTATATAACAGGTTCAATCCGGCAAGAAGTTATAACAATTGTAAATATCTGTGCACCTGAAGAAAGCAGCTAACTGTATAAAGCAAGTATTAAACAAAGGAAGAAATTGATAATAATACAATAGTATTGGGGGACTTGTACATCCCATTCATATCAATGGATATATCATCCAGACAAAAATCATTAAGAAAACAATGGCTTTGAATGTTACATTTTAACAAATGGGCCAGATGCATACAGAACATTATATCAAATACCAGCAGAATACCCAATTTTTTTGAAGTGCACACAGAATACTCTCCAGGGTCACATTATGCCCACAAAAAGTCTAAATAAAATTAAGATTGAACTCATACCAAGTATCTTTTCAAAACACAGTGGTATAAAACTAGAAATCAATTAAAAGGAAAAAACTGGTAAAAAAACAAACGTGAAAGCTGAACAGCCATGCTAGAAAAATCCCAATGGGCCCAAGAAAAAATTTTTAAATATAACTAAGAGAATAATAAAAATAGAAACACAACAATGCAAAATCTTTGAGATGCAGCAAAAATGAAGTTTATAGCAACACAGGCATACCTCAAGGAATAAAAAGACTCTCAAACAAAGCCCAAAGTTAAAAGAAGAAAAGAAACAGTAAAGACCAGAGTGGAAATAAATGAAATAGATCCTAAAAACACAATACAAAAGATCAATGAAACTAAGAGTAGGTTCTTTGAAAAGATAAAGAAAATTCATGAACCATTAGCTAGACTTATCAAGAAAAAAGCAGGACTCAAATCAGAAATTAAAGAGAAGTTACAACTGTTACCACAGAATACAAATGATTATAAGAGATTACTATGAAAATTCATATGCCAACAAACTGGACAACCTAGAAGAAACGGGTAAGTTCCTAGAAACATGCAATCTTCTAAGACTGTACCAGGAAGAAATAAAAAATCTGAACAGACCAATTACTATTAACAAAACTGAAGTGGTCATTAAAAAACTCCCAACAAACAAAAGTGCAGATCCAGCTGGCTTCACAGGAGAACTCTACCAAACAGTTAAAGAAGAGTTAATACCTATCCTCACTGAAGAGGAAGGAAAACTTCCAGATTTATACTGTAAGGCCAGCATCACCTTAATACTAAAACAAGACAAAGATACCACAAAAAA